TTTAAGTAGTCGCACATTAAGAGCGGAGCTTCAGAATAATGTAAAATTCTCACTGGGGATTGTGGGGTATCGATCCCCCCGAGGGTTAAAAATAACGTTTTAAAGGCCCATTATGCTTTTATTTGTTTTTCTTAAAAACTTCTTTATTTTCATGTTCTTCTATATTATCCAAAAAATACACATTGGCCAATTACCTGAACCATCTTTTTCATCTGTTGCTTTTTGGCAATGATGAGTACAGTTATAGTGAATTAGTATTTTATATGGAAGTCTAATACTACATTGTATTGACTACTTTTATGACAAATAATCTCACATTTATCGCTACTTTATTCAGGTAACAAGCATCTTACATTTCTCTGATACCATTATTTTAACATTATAAAATTCAAGTTTGCTCTTTCTAAAGAAGTGTGTAAGATTTCCTCTGGCGAACTGTTGTTACGGAGCTTACAAAAACCCTTAAGTTTGTTGATAAGCTTAATAATGTATTTGTAAAAATCACTATTTATAGTCCGATCGAAAAACTTGATGTTTCACCAGAACATTGCAATAGAGTATTAATAGAGAATTTATAGTTCTTTGGAAAAAAATATTAACTGCATTTTATTTCATTCCCAACATATTTAAAATGGGGCTCACTATGGTACCAAAAGTTATCAAGTAAATGACTGACAAAAACGGGACATTTTTCGCAGAATCTTTTAATTTTAGGAAAACACAATTTCTGTACTAAAGTATTTTGAACAGTGGCATAAAAGTGACATTTGCATTTTTTTACACTTTTTTTTTGTTTTTCGTACATATTTTTTTGTTTGTCGTACATATTTTTTTAAAGTTTTGAATACATACTTTTTTTTTAGTTTTGCATACATATTCGTTTTTAATTTTGCATATATATTTTATTTTAGTTTTTTGTACATATTTTTTTTTCGTACATAATTTTACCTGATGCAATTTGCAAAGTAGAGGTTTGGATAATTACGCTATTTGTAAAACACCATTTTCAAACACTTCGCCATCTGTAAATTACAGTACCCCATTTGCAAATGCCATTTGCAAATACCAACATTTTCATTTTGGAGGTATCAAAAAATAACAACACTTTTAGTATATATATAGTCCGCGGTAACCCAAAGAAAGGTTCTGCATATGGTCTCGATGTGGTTAACATTTTACACAAAGTGCCTGAAAATCCTTTATGGGGTTTTGAAGATAAGGAGCGGACCTGAAACCCAAGTCTTAATCCTTTGACCTGTAGATGTGTCCCCCGACCTTGAGCCGGCACACCTGGCATATAAGTTCTGCACATTATCTGGATGTGCTAAAGAATTGACCCACTTTTCATAAAAATCCTTCAAAGCTTAGCTTTAAGCATTTTTTTCTAAATCAGTGGAATATAAGGAACCTTTTTAGATCTTTTGCTGTGCATTATTGTAATAAACCAGTCATTTGTAACCACCTCTCTTGCCCCCGGGGGAGTGCGGGTTAAAAAAAAGAATCGTGTTTTGATGTTTGCGCTGTTCCGGGGCATAAGGCAGGGATGTTGTTATCTGAGTATCCCCCGCAGGGCGAAGATTTTACCAGTGGTCGGCTTGGTTTAAAGTCAATGCCCCCGACCCCCGCTATTCTCAGGGGGTGGGGTTGAGTGGTGCATATTCATAATAATAACTGATCACCAATCTTCAGCCCTTTCCAAATAGACACTAATATAATAGTATATAATAATAAAAAAACAATAATTATATGAAATAAATATAATTTAAAAAATGGGCCGAAAAGGGTCGGCCGAAACCAGACTTCCCCGGCCGAAAACGACTGGTCCGATTCCAAAAATGGGCCGAAATGTGACCAAACCACTGTGCTAGTTTTATACTCAACTATGGGATGTTATGAGATGTGAAGGCTGTTTTGATTGGCTTAAATATGTAAAAACAAAAATAAAATATGTACGAAAAACCAAAATGAAATATGAATGCAAAACTAAAACAAAATATGCATGCAAAACTAAAACAAAATGCAAATGTCACTTTTATGCCACCGTAATTTTGTTATATGAACACAATTTTTAGATATTTCAATGTCGCAGATCGAAAATAAGTCATAATCAGTATTTAAGCAGAACTCAGATGACACCTTTAGATCTCTGGAACCCAAAGTGCGTTGATATGTAGCATATTAACGCACTTTGGGGTCAATTTCTCGATTTTGACCCCAAAGTGCGTTTGACCCCAAAGTGCGGTGCGAAGTTTTACGCACTTTGGGGTCGGACCCCAAAGTGCGTTTGACCCCAAAGTGCGGTGTTACAAGGCACGAACAGACACCCGAGTAGAATCATCGCGGTTCCGTCAGCCAGCTGGATAACTTCCATTGTGTCAAAGACAAGAGGATGGAGTAGAAACAATTGACACAAATAATTATGAAGCGATATATTTGCAAAGGAAAAAAAGGATTTTAATTACATTATGTATTGGTATTCTCTTATCATTATATTTTTAATTGATAAATACTTCACACTTATTTCAACAAATTAAATGGCAAAAATACAACGAAACAACAACAACAACAAAACCTTACTCTTCTGAGATTATTCAAATTGTAAAATATATACAAAAAGTTGTATTTCAACCTCATCATTTGCTGATATATTCTTATTGACCAGCAGAAAAACAGATTGACTCTATTTGAAAGGAAGAAAAATTTGTAAACAATAATTTAAAAAAGAGGGATCTGCAGGTAAGCGGCATGCTAAATTAAACAATGCCAGAAAAGATATACTGAAACTTGCTGTTTCAAAATTGCAACATTGTTTTCAGATTGTCACTGAAGTAAGGCATCCTACGATGACTATGATTCGCTAGAAATTACAATGATAGTCCGTCAAATCCTGTGTCACCAAAATAAACTCAATTGATTTTGTTTTTTTAAAATGTAAAAATAATATTTTATTATTTGAATAATTATTATCTGTTAAAAGTTCGTATGTGTTGAACTTGATACGCATATCATTTCATTAACTAGTAAATTATTTTCATTTTAATCCGTGTTTACAAGAAGAGTTCGAACACAATTCATCCTACTCATTTGTTAGAAAATCCAGTTTCGTATGCCTGGATCAGAAACATGAAAATATGGTTCTGGTTGCGATAAACGCACATGTTTAATAGAAATAATAGAAAGTCGACATATGAGCATGACAGTGCTGTTTTAACTTAAACCCCAACTCAAACAAACAAACAAACAATAACAACAACAACTGCAACAAAAATATTGCACGGGACAAAGGCTACTGCTATGTACTATTTATGTACCGCCTACTTTCCATGTGTCAATCAAGGAACATACTTTTGCCTGATATCTTTAATGTTCTTCTATACGTGTACGGAACTTAATGATGTCATTTTAAGACGATATGTTATTTTTGTTATATTTGTATACCACCTACATTGACGAATTCAAGGTACATACTATTGCCTGCTATCGTATATATTCCTCTACTGACATACGAAATGTAATAATGCCATTTTAAGATGACGTGTATTTATTTTTAATCTGGTCGTTTTATGTCTACTTTGCTGGAGCAGACTACGACATACATCCTAGTCCATTTCAAGTTAAACGCGAATGATATTTATTACCTTATACACTTTAATTTATTAACTTCATTACAAGAAAGGCTTTGCCGTTGTTTAAATATATGTATTTTGAAATTTTATCAAAAAGTGTATGAAATTAAACTAGAGACATATTGCCCCATTCAAAATCCGATAGTCTCAAGTAAATTAAATTTTGAAATATAAGATGTTATGAAATATCAACAATACGATATAAGTTATCTGATTGGTATTTATTGATAATGCAATTCGAAAAAACCGTTTCAACCTTTTTCTAGTGCTTATGCTAAGGTTTTAATGTAAATGAAAGAATCATCATTGAGTATGAGTTTCGTAAAACGATATAAACAATTGCCTATTGTTTTATTGATGACTAAAGTTCTTAATGTATCTGCAACTTGTAGTTAACCAAAAATAGAATACTTCCGAAAGATCTGCATGCCTGCAAATTATGCATGCTACGTGGTCAAAACACTACTTTAAATAACACAATACTTTGCTCCGTCTTTTGATGATCGTTTAATAACAATGCCAGTTTATGTTTCAACTGTTTTGAAAATCTACCATAATATTATGAAATGAACATAATTTACTATATATGAGATTTATAAAACTTTTCATAAGGTATAGCGTCTTTTATCACGTTAATTGTATTCACGTAAAATAATACAATAGGTAACAATATTATTTGCACGTTGTGATTTATGTAAAGACATTACTAAGAATCAGAAACATGTGAGCATATGTAACAACATTAGTATTATAATGGCAAAGGAGGGATGTTGTAAGGCATATCGACACTATTGAGCTCATATGGTGACTTTCAAGCTTTTTACTTGTGTAAGAAGACCCCTAGAAGGCCATTCTAGGGTACCTAACTAGAACCACAAACCTTCTGTATGCCAGCAAGATAAACTAAATTCCAAGTCCTTGACATGATTCGGTAGATATTTTTTTAACAAATAAACAAAAATAATTATATCAACGTTTACAAACATTAATGTATCAAAATTCGCGGATGAAAAATATTTGCCTTGGCGTTTGCCTTCCATTACTTAAAAAAAATAATAACACAAAACCATAAAAAATATATATATAAAACAACGAAAAATAAATTTCAAAAGAAATAAAAACTAAGAAATTTATCTAAATAGCAACTTAAAAGATATAAATTCATGTACCTTGTAAAGAAAATGATTAACATCATTTATAAATAAGTGTTAAGAAGTATTGCGTCAATAGCAACAAATTCGGCATACTATATATGCGCTAGTAATTTTGAATTAGATCCAACAAAATCAAAAATGCATGTACGCCCTAGTTTTCATCACATCAGAGCATTAGGCTACTTACTATACAACTGCCCGAAACACCTGTGATACAGAATTAAAACCTCCTATTTATTAATGCCCCGGAGAATGTATTCCATCGTTTTGAATCCTGGTATATAATGGTACCACTACTAGTACCGCCTGGCAATACCTCGACCCATACCTTCTTTCCGGCCGTCACTATCGCAACTGTATCAGCAGAATTTGAACATCCAGTGCCACCATCACCATAGAACAATGACGTTGAATATCTTGTTCCTTCAATCATTAAACTAACAGTCAATGTCTCCTTTAGGTAAACACAGAAAGCTAAACTGAACATGTACACCCCACTAACGGGTGCTGTAAATTTTCCGGTACCTGGGTTATACGCATCTCCTTCCTTGAAGATGAATACTGGAAACACTATGGTCTGGCCTCCCACCACTGCAGTATTGACATTTAATCTTGCCTTAAATGCAACAGTTGGTGTTACAGTATCTAGAAAAGAAAAACATAAAGAATTCACAAGCAGGGCATTATATTTTCAAGGAAAACTTAAAATCTTTTGGTAAATCACATGTTCATTATTAACAATGAATTTAAATGTTAGATAAAATATTTGTAATAAATTAAATTTAGCGATATAAGTTCATATTTATCGCTTTAGAGTCCGTTTATTAGTTTCATGAAATATAATGGTCAACTTCCTTAACCTTTAAATTGACAAAAAAGAAAGGCTTAAGAAAAATGAAAATAAAGTATATATTTGTTTGGGGCTGTATATGACTTATAATACATTTGAATTATATTTTACACCGAAAATCACATCATAAAATGTATGTTAATCAAACATTTATGGACAATATGAAAGTTCCAAAAATATTTTTCGTGAAAGTATGAATACTGAATAAACATGCACGAGTACAAGGGGTATAGTTATTAAGTACCAGTACTCATTAGTACTAGATCTTGCTGAAGTACTGCAGTGCAAGTACTTTTATTCGGAATTATTTAGTGCCAATACCAGTACTTTCATATATTCACTGCATGTTGCACACTATTAAATGAAAAAAACATATAACTTTTGAGGCGCTTTTATATGTCGCAATGCCGCTAAATGTCGCACTGGTGCTAAATGTCCCACGATTGCCGCTAAGTGTCGCAAAGTCTGCTACCGTTAAATGTCGCATGGTTTTCTCTTGCCGTTGAATGTCGCAAAACTACCGCTTAAAGTCGCATGATGTGTTTTGTTTTTATCAAATAAAATAAGCTAGTTGTATTTTGTTACAATAAACATTGAGTAAATGTTCGTACATATTTAGTAACTTTATGGGAAATCAAGAAATGTCTTGATTTATCTGCTGGCTCAAGACAAAATATGCTTTTTAAATATCATTTTTGTTTGAAATTTAAATGTAAAAGCGATTGATTAAGGTATAGTATGTAACTATGATAGGTGTTATGTGCATATAATACTAATCTTTTGTAAAGTGCTTTGTGTACTTAGACAAGTTTATATCTTTACTACTGTCCATCCACTTGCCTCTCACTGCTGTTGGTATTTCATTTATACGAGGAAGATGTAACACCTAATTTACGACAAGTATCTAGTTGAAATAAGGCGAAGGGGCACCTGAGGTATTTCTTCACTAGCAAAGATGGAAAGTCGAAATGTAACCTTACAGTGTTGGTGCGAGGTAAAATCCAACAAAAAATAAAATTGTATCAGACTGCTTACTTCGTATATATTACTGTGAGTACTAGCATTGTACAATCTGAATATCAACTTGATTATTTTTACAGGTGTCACAGGCACATTCAATATATTCGATGAGTTCCATCCCCAACAAAAATTAATAATTTACGGTACCTGTTCGATTGTGCGCGCGTGAGTGTTTAAATTCCACTATAACTAGCAATAAACATCTGGGATCACTTATTTTTGTAGGTCTTATCATTCTGTCACGGCTAGCCGTTAGAATTTCATACTGAATAACGCAATAGAAAATAACCTAAAACTCCTTAACAATCCGATTGTTTTCCCTTGCTCGAACTCCAGCTTTCACCAAATGGCCCAAGCACTCAAAATGGTTTTCATGTCAGTAATTACAGATGTCTGTGATTTATGGAATTCAATGTTTTCAAATAGTGATAAAATATTTGAAAAGGATTTTCTATGTTACATACACTAGTCTACCTACATGTGACATAGATAAGTGACCTGTCATTTAACATAGCAGGCTAGTACAAATTCAGGCGATACCAAAGTCTAATAAATATACCATGAACATTTTCATCCTGTAAGACTACTTACATGCAATTTTTAGCATAAGTTTCAACGGCATCAAACTGTCAGAAATGGAATACTTGATACAACTTCGCGAAATTTCTTTTCATGTGGATCACTATTAAATGCTCTCGTTTTGTTTTCGGTTCGGAAGGACCAGTTTGAAAATATGTCATATACTAATAGGATGGATTAGACGGAAGAATTTTACTTTTTCATCAATAATTATCAAAGAAAAAATATTTAACTCAAACGAAAACGAAAAGTGTAAAATTTTGAAGAATTGAATCAATAAAAATAAATAAATAAAGAAAGAATAAAAAGAAAAAAAAAAGAAAAAAAGGAAAGTAAAAAAATGTACCATGTGTCTGAGTCCTTATAAATTTGAATCTACAAACCAAGTGAATCTAGTAAGGATACCGGTACAATCTAAGACGAGTTCACTCATGTATACAAAAGAGGGTTGACAATAATAAGAACTAACATAAATTTCAGTCTTTCAAATCTATGTAACTAATGTAAACGATATGTCTTGCAATAAGATAATTTAAAATACTTCAATGTATAATAATTAAGGCAAGTAAATCTTAATTCCAGTGGAAATTTTCTTCCTAATATAGATCATTTTAGGCAAGACTTTTGTCATTGAACAGGAATGTTAATCCGTGCTAAATCCACCGAAAATGCGATTCCTCACTTGAATACTGTTTGTGTGACACATGACTGGTATCTTAACGCGCAACACTGTCCTATTACATCGCTTGCTGCCATTAAATAAAACGTGAACTTAAGAAACTAGAAACATGACATGTAAGTATCATCTTGTGTAATCACCAGACCGCCAGGTTAGACCAATAAGTAAAGTATCTGTCGTACTGATGGTCAAGGTGGAGAAGTTCAAAAGCATAAACCGGGAATGAAGATACTTTTTACTGGCAATGAAAGAAAAAAGAATATAAAAGCAAAAAACGAATAAGGTTTGTTTGCATCAATGAAATTTATCAAACTGTAATCCAATTGTGACAATATAATAATACCTATAATATATTTTAAATCCACAAGCATACATGCTTGTAGGTGGGAGGCCGATACACAGTATAAAATACTGATCTATAGTTAAAGACTAAGTCTATTTTTTTAGGATAATCTTTTAGGTGTGTTAGATCCATCTCAAGCTGATGCTATGACTTGAACCCACAACATCTGGGTTGCTAAATGGGGAAAAAACAAATGAGTTTTATCACTAAGAGGCCCTTAATATTGACGTAAAACATTTGTTGAAATTGCGATGTGTTATGACATTTAACGGTAAGGGAAAATTGTGCAACATTAAACGACCGTGTTGCAACATTAATTTTATGATACAAGATTTTGCGACATTTACGGCGTCAGCGACATTAAGTGGCAATGTAAAGACATTTTGCAGCGAGTGCGACTTTTATCGGCGTTGCAACATTTAAAAGAGCCACGACATTACATATGTGCAGTTTTATAAACTCTTTAAAGAAAATAAATATTATTAGAAAAGATATTTGCTTTTTATTCAATTTAACGGATGCAAAACATAACAAGTATTGTTTACTTTTCACATTCAAGGTTAACCACATTACATTTTTAATAAGAAATGCTCACGAAAGTACTAATTTAAAACAAATCTTTTATAAAATTACTAATTTAGTAGTTCATGTCAATAACTTGCATTCTGTAGATATTTTCAACTGCAAAAGTCGTGTGACTGAGAAATCTGAAGATGAATATCTAGAAAACTGTGTTACAATACAGTTACCTAAATATCTAAAGCTTAACATTCATAAGGACAGCTTGTGTACCTCTTCACACCGTCATTTAGAAAAAATTACATCCCTTTTCACACCTTCATTAAACTGACATTTTTTTAACTTTATTATTCTTTGACATCTGTTTGCATTTAACAGATACACTTACAATATGTGACTATAACAAAAATAAATTCAATTCAATACTTATCCACATGATAATTTCTCTAAAGCTTCATTTTCATGAAGTACAATTTCATATATTAACTTGTTTTCCATGGTTGTCTTAAATAAAACGAAATATTTAAAACGCATTAATAAAATAGTATATGAGACAAAAATTATCTCTTTACATATTTTTGAAAACCAAATAACTGCCTTGGTACTGCAGTACAAGTTCCACATTTTGTAGACGGTAGTGCTATACCATTACTAATAGTAGCAAAATTTGGTCTGAGTAATTTTCAGTATCTCCAGTACTTACAAAATGACTACATCACGTACTGAAGTACCAGTAATGCATGTCTGATTCAGGTTTTTTTATGTTTTAATACTGAATATTATATTTTACATTCTTCATTTATATAAATATCAACGGGACGTTCAATGATATAATTAAACATTATGTTATGTTAAAATGCAGTAAACATAAAAAAGCCTCAATGCTTCGGACCTCATAGCATTGTAGTGACCCCAAGTCAACTCCAGACCTAAAACATACTTCAGCCTTTTTTGGGGATATAATTTCGCACCAAGCCTTAGCCCATGGCGACTTTTCAGCTTAACTGATGGAGGAAGATCTTACGTAAATTTGTCCTGGCACGTACGGGCCCTTGAGTAGAAAAAAGGTATTTTTCTCACATAAAAGAATTCAAAGTCCCTATCAGAATTCGAACCCACAGCGGTGTGGGCTGGTTGTTTGAGATCAGCGACATTAACCACTCGGCCGTGAAAGCTTCCTAACTGATCGGTTTCTACAATGCTACGGGGACCTCAGTGCTAGGTAATAGTCATGAAGTTAGTAATTACTTTACTTCAGATTTGATTTTCTAACTACAGTTAAATGCATTTTTCTTTGTTTCATCTATAAACACATCTTCAATAATTCAACGAAAATAAAAATAATGAAAAGATTATGTCTTACATGCATCGTAGAAAAACAGTAAATATGACGTTACTTACCTTGAAGTTCAAGAAGCTTGGCCTTAACTGCCGATGTGACATTACTGACTTCTTTCATACTGGTCTCGAAGCCATTTTCTAGCTCTTGTTGTTTTGTTTTCATCTGATCACTAACTTCCGTCTTGATATTTTCAACTCTGTTAACACATTGCTCTACCTCAAGTTTCAGTCTCTCCATTTGAAATTCTATGCGTACCATTTTTTCCAGCACCTTTTCCTCAAAATCATATTTAGAACAGCGAGGTTCTTCACAATTTCTACCACTTGTCAAAAGAAACAGAAGAAAGACTATTTTAGAGAGCGACATGTTTCACGAATGACAAACCTTTTGCTTGAGTTGTTTGCAAGTGAATGAATCAGACTACCTTCATTATTGCCACGAGGAATCATTTTACGGAAACCAATTCATGCCACCATGTTACAATCAATGCTGCCATTGCCCACCTCCTTTGTTGTCTCTAAACATAAAAAATACAATATTATACAATTATAGACTAATGTTGAGGTTTATACACTGAACAAAAGTTCTAACCGATCACCCTGAGTTTTCGCTTATATATGAAAAAGAATAATACCAATAGATCCGACTTTTATTTTATTTCGAAGAGAATGAACACATTGAGAATAATAAAATTATAACATTTTCTATTTAAATAATACTTATCGATATTTAAAAAAAAATAATTTATGAACAGCCACTCATCTGTCTGATTGAGGCTCCAGCATTCAACATTCCAACTGCTACGGCACGATCCTGCATCGACATTCGTGCCATGTTTTATGTTTTTTCACTTATAAAGTTAACAAGGATTTATGCAATGTAAATTTTAATACTCACCACGCTCTGCACGAACATTTCGTGCCAAAATGTGTAAACCGCACCCTGTCTCCCGCGTGAGTGCATGGAACCGTATTAAATTATTTTTCTTTCCACAAATCGGTAGAAAATGACTCAAAAATCACCTCTGCAAAATTTTATAAGGATCTATTGACCCGTTATAAAATAATCAAAATTTAAAAAGTGATCGGTTAGAACTTTTGTTAAGTGTATATAGTTTTCCAAATTTAAGAAAAGTGATATTGTCAAAAAGTGATATTAGGGCAAAAGTTCGAGGTCAATATAACTTTTGTCAGTCTATCTGCAAAAGGAAGTCTATATTGTTTCATCGTATACTACAGGCTATAATAGCGCGTACGTTCAACTTTAGAAGACTATCTCAACTTTATAAAACATTCAGGTCAACACGTCTCTAAGCGTTCAGCATGTCTTTTTGCGGACTGGTGACGTCAGCGCTAATCAGCCAATCTAAACGTCGCTTTTATGAAACGGTTAACGGTATATCGACATTTAAGAAATTCTTTAATGTGTGTCGATGAGTGATGCAATGTCAAACTGTAAAAAATACATAATTTATGAAATAAATGTTTTACACAACAAAGAAGATAATAATTTTATAAATGTAAACAAGGAACTCATAATAATGTTGTAATGGAATATCTACTTTAAAACAATTCGAGGAAAAGCGACATTGCTAAAATCAGCAAATGATATCAGACTAAATCTATGAAAAACCATATTTTGAATATTCAGTCTTTCATATGATATCATCGTAAATAAATTAAAGTCATTGTGCTGAATTAACGAATGTACATATACTCGATCAAGATAACTACAAGGCTGTAATTGACATTTTGTAGCATTTAAAGGACGGTCAATTTGTAAGGATAGGGCAAATGGAAACTTAACATAGATAAGAATAGCAAAGACAGTATTCCATACTTTGGGCGGTAAAATAAGTACGAAATTCGGCCCAGGAAACAAATATTTCTCATATAAATACGTAACATATAATAATTTGTTACCAGTCGTTACATAATTATATTACGCCTCTTTTACTTCATGTTCAGGTTTATCTCATCTGTTTTAATTTTCTAGACTCTCCTTTCGTTTTGCTAACAAACATACGAACATCAGAAACATATTATTATGTTAATGAAGAATTTACTTCACGGTGATGGTTATTAAGACATCATATTAAATGTTCGTGTATCTACGCAGTCGACGATATTATACGTAAGATCACAGCAAAAAAAAAACACGTTATCAAGTCGCAAAATTTCTAACAGCTAACAACCATGGTTTCTCGTTTTTAAGAAGTGATACGATTTAATGTTACACGGAGAAAATGTGCGCAAGTATATTTATAAAATCATAATGTCTTATGAATTAGTAAAATCATTCTACTGTTATAAATTTGTTAATTTTTACGCTTACTAAATTTGAAATAAAAAATGAAATTATGTCACGGTGGTTCTTTTCCCCATTGCTATTTAATTTCCATTTTTTCTTACATCTTTAAGCACTATTTAAAGATTTGATAATATATATATATTAAAACGGATAAAAATATAGTAGTAACACCTTTACAATGAACATTTAAAACATTGAGATACAAAGGTTTAATTATGCCGGAACTTTTGTTGACAATATGAATACGTGCCGCTCATTCTGTTTATAAATTTAAATTACTTCCTATTGCTAAGTATTGTTCACTTTGCAATGCATATTTTCATTGAAATCATACCAAAACATCTAAAAATGACTAGTCTATTTAGAATTTTTATCACCTGAATGTTTAGATATTTAATATTACTTTAGCCTTTTTTATCGAGTACGCCGCCTGTGTAAGGTCCGACTAATGGACGAAAACAAGTTCTGATCCCATTATTAGCAATGGATACGACTGCGTACCGGATGCATGGAGAAAGTTCGGAGCTTGCAGGATCTTTCTCTTCATGATCAACATTACCACATAAATCAAAAGTAACAAATTGATTGCCAATGAGTACATCGGTCGAAAAGTCGAAGTTAACAAATTAAAAAGTAAAACAATGTTTTACGAGTTATAATCTAAATATAAAATTCGCATGAGGTTTAAAATCCGTCGCCCGATTCTCTTCACTCTATCATTCCTTGAATAAAAATAAACTACTAAAATATTTTATGACTTTATAACAATAATAACATCATCATTTAATGGATTTTTAAACGATCGCAAGATGTTTTTTATATTTACTTCCACAGGTAAGAAAAATAAAACAAATGACAATCACTAGAAAAAGAACTATAAAACAAAAGCGTTTAATGTTGTTATAATAGTGCAGTGTCAGTTACTTTTGCATTGCTCCGGAAGAAGATTTCTTCTGTAAAATAAAACTTTAATAGTACACAAGTATACCTTAGATAGTACTCTGATCCACACTCTCTTTCCCGAGATTTGCCACAGTTCATAAGCACATGCATTCATAGTTTCATAGTCTTTGAATATTTGGTGCTTTCCTAGACTACATGTATCAGAAGGAATACCCAGATTAAAGTAAATCTAGATTAACGCTTAATTATCATTGCAAAAGAAAAAGTATTCCATCAGTAAACATCTTGGTCTAGAATTGTACCAGTATTTTGAGTGTGTTGGGGGCCGCGTCCTGTGAGCGTTGCCTCTGCCTTGTTGATCTTTATTCTTGTTTTTTTACTACCTATCTTTCTCAATGCTGGCATAAACTTTCTTTTTATAATATTCAAGTAGCGATCTTTATTTACTGTTTCTACGCTACCTTTACTGTCCTCGTAGAAAAATGGACCCATAATTCCATTTTCACTTAACGCGGCCCGCACCGTAACCTTTTCTGAATGCAGTGTTTTTCTAAATAAAAGTCTGGCTTTTCAGTGCCCTAGTACCTGCAGTTTGTTTTTGTTCACCTGCGAATTAAGATAGAAATGTGCCTCATCTGAGAACCATATCTTGTCAGCAATACCACTGTTGTCGATCATCCATCTTGCAAAGGTCAATCTGTGCTCAATGTCGGTTGGTTTCAAATTCTGCATGATGGATATTGTATAAGGAGTGAGCTTCAAATCATACCGAAGAATTCTAAATACACTAGAATGACTGGCAGAGTTACTAATATCGCCCAATACTTGTCTTACAGACCTTTGTGGTGTTTCATTTATGACTGATTGCACTTGCCCAATGGTTTCAGCAATTCTTACAGTTCTTTGACGTCCAGGGTTAGCATGCCTTTTGTCTTTAATCCAACCTGAAGCCTCAAATCTTTGTATAATTCTCTGAATGTTCTTCTTATTAAGTTCCCTTAGATCAGGTTTTTTTTTCATTGCTTTTATAACAGTGATAGGTGATTTACTTTCATAATAAAGTTTAACAACTTCCTTACACTGATCCTTAGATGGCGCCATCTTGTTTATACAGACAACAGGAAATGACGTCATTGATGACGTCATGACGTCGACGTTTTTTCCGTACTTTTAAGCTCATTAAAGACATGGATCTAAGGACAAGTTCAGGATGTACAAACTTATAATATATACTTACAAATGAAAAAGATATAGAATATTGAAATGGGGACACATATTATGAAACACCTTGTATGTCTCACTGACAGGTGCTGTAAACTTTCCGGTATTAGGGTTATACGCGTCTCTTTCATTGAAGATTACTGTTGGAAACACAATGGTCTGACCAGCAGCGGTCACTGCTGTATCTATATGTGATCTAGCCTTAGCAATTGTTTGTGTAATAGCCGTATCTAAAAAAGAAAGAACATTGCATACTTAATATACATGTAGGTGATAAATTTTACAGTCAAATGTTAAGAAATATCAAACAAGGTGAGCAGTAAAACGAACACTACTGATAAACAAGTGAGTTAAATATTTGAAATCAAATAAATGCAATAAATCCAAAATCTTTTGATTTGAGTCACCTAATTTATCATTAATCCTGATCTTAGTCGTGCTTGAAACCAAGGTCCTGGGCTTTTGAAACTAAATATTTTACTAATAAGACGGGGAATACGATGATAGCTTTCGTCCTTCCCGTCCCGTACGTCCCGTCCGTGCGTCTGTCCTACATTATTGTCCGGAGTGTAACAAAAAATATTTTTGAGATACTTCATCGAGACGTCATACGTAGATACATGTCATTGAGGTTTGTACAGTGCATTACAACGATAACTTTAACTTTTTTGTTGATTTATCGCCCTTTGTTTTTATTGTCCCCCGCCTTTTCGAAGAAAAAAGGGGGGTATAGAAATAGGCTCCGTCCGTCCGTCCGTCACACTTTCGTGTCCGGTCCATAACTTTGTCATTTATGAAAGGAATTTGAAATAACTTGGCACAAATGTTTATTAATATAAGACGATGTGTCATGCGCAACAACCAGACCCCTACCTCCAGGGTCAAAGGTCGCACTTGCTCATTTAAGGTCAACATTGTCTATTTGAGGGTATATTTCGTGTCCGGTCCATAACTTTGTCATTTATCAAAGGAATTTGAAATAACTTGACACAAATGTTTGTTATAATAAGAC